CAACCACAACACAAATCACAACCACACACCCATCACACCTCACATACTACTATACCACATCTAATCCTATGTGTCTATTCTATCTATATATATGTATCTTGCATATATATCAAACTATATAACTATATATAATCATATAAGTATATATAATAATACATATATATATACCATATACTATCATACCCTATACTTACACATAAACCATACCACTTACACATAATATACTATATACACTAATACTATATAACTCACTATACTATATATATCATATATTATATACTATAGTATGCTACTGATATTATGTATGTACATATGTATGTTTATAGTGCACATCGTCACCGTCAGTGCAATTACCGTGTTCGAGATTGATATACTGTACAGATGAAGCTTAAAGAGAGAAATAGAGAAAGTAAATAGATAGAGCGAAATAGGGAGAGATGAGAGGCGGAGCGTGATGATAAAAAATTGAGTGATTAGAATAAACAGATAGAAAGATTAGATAGGAGGCTAGAACATGAAAAGAGATCTTATCATCCGGGCGCAGCGGGGGGCAGTGAGAGCGACGAGGATGGGAGGGTATGATAGAAGATGAGACGTTGGAGAGATTACAAAAAGACGAATGAGAGATATGAGGGAGGAGAAGCGACGGAGACAAAAGAGAGAACATATATCGACCCAGATAGACAGATAAATAGATAGATAGATAGACAGACAATAATAATACCAATAATAATAATATTATTAACAGAAATACGGATACCCACACACATATGCACATACACTAGACCCACTCTTACACTAAATGACTATGCAAATGAGAGCAAAGAGGGAATTGAAATAGGAAGTTGCAGGACGATAGTAATGAGGCGAACACGAGACGAGCCCAGAAGTGAACGATATTGACGGACAGTTAATCATCCAGCGGCGATGGCCTTTCTGCAATCAGCGCCTAGCCAGAATTAAGACTCTTCCTCCAAATGGGTTTTCCTGCTCAGGCGATTCGCGTCAAGAAAGGGGAATCAGCTGTCGGGATCATAACTGATTCTCATTTGCCGTCTGTCTAGCACACTAATGGCGTGAGTAGGAGGCGAATCCATTCATAAAGTCGTGAGCCTTTACGAGGACTGGCGGAGGGAGAAGCGGTTCAAGTCCCGATATGAATAGTTGGATTTTTTTTTTTTTTTTTTTTTTTCGCGTACAGTCAAAAGTATTTATTCACGGGCGATGTCCTGTTGCGTCGGTTGTCTGCATATAGAGCGGTAATTATTTGCACGGCTGGCGATGGTGATATAAGTGTTTGAATCGGGGAATAATCCTTTAAAGGGAACTGAATACCACTGAGAGGCAACAAACGCTAATATCATGTCCTTTGATCGAAGGAATAAACGGTGTTATTAATGCCGAACGGATATGAATTATTTCATTCATTACGGCTCCTCTTATGATTAATACTTGTTATAAATCACCTTCACCGCGCTAGCTTTATTCCGTGAGTTGCTATTTTAGATGAAATTGAGTCACTTTCTATTATTTTGACATTTTCTCCCCATCTTTTCCAAAAAGAAAGACTCCATTCACCTGCAGTTCTGTTGCGCACTTCAACATCACCGCACCCAAAAAATAACCGAGCATTCTGCAATCATGCTTTTGATTATCAAGAGCTGCAACAAGGCCCATGGCTTACCCTCTGCCATTTAAATAGTTAATGATAATACGACCCTCTGCCCCGCTGTGCAATCTCGTCCGATTCGAGTGGCCTCCACTTTTCACCAAATTTTCCAAATATTTCCTCGCTTCCCATTATATGCACGATCGCTCCTGCCAAGCTATTTGCATAATCTCGCAGATCGTTTGGGAGAGAGAGAGACTGTATATTTTTGTCTGCTATGGCTTTTTCTCTCTCTTTCCTTCTTCCATTTTCCTTTCTTTTATCGGGGTGGTCTCTTCTTCCCATTCTTATCTTTATTATTCCGAGAACGATTCCATCTTGACTTTGGTGCATATTTCTTTTTTTTTTTTTTTTTTTTTGGGGGGGGGGTAGCTATTACATTTAAAGTGTTCTGTTAAGTGATATTCGATTCATAAGCGAATCCAACAGAACAAGAATATAATGATAATCTTTAACTTATCATCGCCATCACCGTTCGTGTCTCTTGAAAATGTGGTTGATAAAATGTTTTGAAAGTAAGAAAAATACAAAATAATAAATAAAATATATTTTTTAAGGCTAATATCACGATTTCTTTTATGTAGACATCAAAGCTTTTACAATTTTGGATTTCATCATTTGAATAAAGAGAAAAAAGTGAGCGGAAATAATAATAATAATAATAATAATAATAATAATAATAATAATAATAATAAATAAAGTATAGATATAAATAAACAGATTATACGTGACATTAGTATTTCCTCTTTTATACTCTTACTGCTTATAAAAGATAAGAAGATTAACGAACTTCCTTTTGCAACCACTTAAAAAAAAGATATAGTGTATTTCCAGTGATGAAATACATTATATTCCGGGAAGAAGTAATCAGAACTTTGACATTTAAGAAGATAAAATATCTGAAGAGATTTTACGCTTTTCATAACTTTAACATTATCTAATCCCTCTCCTCTCTGTAGTAATATTTAGTCTCATCTTTTCTTACTCAAATATTAGTAAAAGTATTTTCTACCGTTGCATAACTTATGTATTACGGTTTAATGAATCACCTCTTTCTCACATCCAAGTGTCTACAACTTTGAATTATAAGTATAAAGTTCTCTAATTCCTAATAAGGACTTTAACATCAGCTTTATTTAATATCAAAATAATCAAAACCTAATTATTTTTCTTAAAGTAATTTCCTGAATATTAATCTTCTAAAAGGTAGATGTAAGAGGCTCTATCACCACAGGGTAAGTGATAAGCTACTTACTAATATTTCCATAACAATGATACGATATAGTAGTTTAACAGTGATCTGATATAAAAATACAGCAGTAATAGGATTGCGATAACACTAATACAATTGATAGTAGTAGTAGTAGTAGTAGTAGAAACAACAAACAACAGCGATTACAATAATGATGTTAATAATAATAATAATAGTGATAATAATGCTGCTAATAATAATAATAATAATAATAAAATAAATAATAATAAATATAATAATAATAATAATAATAATAATAATAATAATAATAATAATAATAATAATAAATAATATTAATGAATAAATAATAATAATAATATAATAATAACAATAATAATAATAATAACAAAATAATAATGAATAAATAATACAACAAAATAAAATAATAATAATAATAAAATAATAATAATAAGCAAAGAATAATAATAATAATAAGTAATAATGAATATGATAAGAATTATAGCATAATTAATATTAGTAAAAAATATAATAAATGATAATAAATACAATAATAATATCAGTGATAATGATACTACTACTACTACTACTACTAACAATAATTGATAAATAAAAGATAAAATAGTAATAATAATGATAGATAATAACAACAACAACAACACCGAACAAAAACAATAACAATAATAATGATAATAATAATAATAATAATAATAATAATAATAATAATAATAATAATAATAATAATAATAATAATAATAATAATAATAGAATACAACAATAATAATGAAATGATAATTAATAATAAATTATAATGATGATAACAATGAAAACAATAATACTGATTGAAAAGATGATGTTAATGATGATAATGGTGTTGATGAACGACAATAATAATGACAATAATGATAATAGTAATAATGATAAAAATAGATAATGACAGCACGACAACAACACAACAACAACAAAACCACAGTAATAATAATAATAATAATAAAATAATAAAATATAAATATAATAATAATAATAATAAATAATAATAATAATAATAATAAATAAAGATAATAATTTATAAAATGATATTGATAATGAATAATGAAACAAGAAGTAATCAAGAAAAAAATATAAAAGCTCTATAAAAGAAAATATTATGGTAGCAATTAATGAATTGTGATAACAAATAATATATAATAGAAATAACAATAATATAAACAATAAATTGATAAATGATTAATAGTAATGATGATGATAATAAAATGATGATGATGATGAATGATGATATATGATAATAATATAATAATAATAATAATAATAAACTATTATAATAATATAATAATAATAATAATAATAAATAAATAATAATAATAATAATAATAATATAAAGAAATTAGAATGATAATAAATATATAAATAAATAAATTGACAATCTTAGATAATATATCGATGTATTTATAATAATTATAATTAATGAATCAAATGAATAATATAATGGACTAACGTACTAGATAATATATGATTAAAAATATTTATTCACTATAATATAAATAATAACTATTAATCTAAATGGATAAAAGAACATAAATTAATGCGCGAGATATAATACAATAACATAACCAATAATCACAAGTGAAACAATGATAATGATAGCACAATGGCAACAAAGAGAAGTGACCAATAACAAAACACAAATCCAAACAATTCCACAATCACAAAACAACTATCCCAAACACAAACCAATAAATAAATTACTATACATTAATACAAATATGGATAATGATGAAATAACTAATTGAAAGCATGGTATAATCGAAATAATAATAGATTCCTAAGATGAATGATAATAATCACACTTCTCTGCATAATGATAAAGGATAACAATTATCACGTATTAATCTCGAGACAGAGCAATAAGGTGCATAATATATTGATTATCTACTATAAGATGAAGATATGGGCAATTACACCACAATTAGAGATGATACTCTAAATTATTATATTTATAACATAAAAACAATGAAATAAATGAGCGACCAAAACTCATTCAAATAATAAATATAAGTAATGAAAAACGATTAAGGATATAATAATAATAATAATAATAATAATAATAAATAAATAATAAAATAATAATAATAATAAATATTAATAAATGAAATAAATAATGAATAATGAATGAATAATGAATATAATGATAAACAATAATATTATAATAAAAATAATGATGATGATGATGATGATGATGAATGATGATAATAATAATAACAATAATAATAATAATAATAATAATAATAATAATAATAATAATAATAATAATAATAATAATAATAATAATAATAATAATAATAATAAAATAATTAATAATAATAATAATAATAATAATAAAATAATAATATAATAATAATAACATAATGATAATAATAATCATAACAATATTAATAATGATAATAATAACAATGTTAATAACGATAACAATGAAACATGTTTATTGCGACAAATGTAGAAAATATATAAATGAGAATGAATATCTGCACGATAAAGGAGATTATTTAACATGTATTTCTGACGAAGATATATTCGACCGATTAAATACATCTCTTGTATTGTAAATATATTCATTCTCTATTACAAAATATAATAATAATGATAATATAATGATAATGATAATATAATAATAATAATTAAAATTATAAAATAATATATAATAATGATAATAATAATAATAATAATAATAATAATAATAATAATAATAATAAATAATAATAATAATGAATAATGATGATAATAATAAATAATAATAATAATAATAATAATAATAATAATAATAATAAAACATCATTAGTAATAATAACAACAATATATAATATAAATGATAAAAAATATATTAATAATACCATTTTATATCTTTCGGATACTTTCGGTTAATAGGATTATTTATTCACAATAACATATCGAATAAAGAATTGTCGCGTTAACATTTTAACTGAAAGAATGATATCCTCCATTTTACACTAAATAAAATGATACATTACAGTGTTATTTAATTTATTCGACGGTCCGGAATACGTCTTAAACTTCTGAGGAACTTAAGGAGTCGAACTAAAAGAAAGAAAGATGAAGATGAAGATGAGGATGGAGGTGAATAGGAAGAAGAAGAGGAGGAGGAGGAAAAAAAAGAGAGGAGGAGGAAAAAGAGAAGAGAGAGGAGGAAAAAGAAGATAAAGAAGAAGAACAGGAGGAGGAGGAAAAAACAGGAGAAAGAAGAACAGGAGGAGGAGGAAAAAGAAGAAATAAAGAAAGAGAAGAGGAGAAGGAAAAAGAAGAACAAGAAGAAACATCATAAGAGTGAAATGCAATTCGTTTGTCTTTGTTTGCGAGGCTCTCCTTGCAACGGGAGCAATTTTCATTCGTTTGCTTCCAAGGCCTCTTTCAGACGTCTGTAGCACCTCCACTTGGCAGTAGAAAGTCTTCTCCATACGACTCCTTGGTTTTGCGAAATGTCTCGGTTTTCTCAATTTGAAAGTCTGTTCTACACTGTTTTTTTTTTTAATGAGAGAATTTTTTACGGTATTGTTTTATCAGGTATTTAGGTCCGGAATGCACTTTGGTATATTTATTTTTACTTGTTCTCATATACTCATACGAGGTAGGCATTATTTATTTCAAAACTTACTTTAAATTGGGATGAAATATGTTTTCTTTCATACAGTCAGCAATGTAAGAAGAAAGTTATCATGCAAGAGTAGCAAAGTTGAATAAGTTTGTTTCACTCGGAGATAAAAGCAAAGACAAAAAAAAAAAAAAAAAAAAAAAAAAAAAAAAAGAAAGAAAGAAAGAAAAAAAGAAAAAAGTTAAAACGTAAGATGCCTCTTTCGTTGTTTTAAAAGAGGTCCGACATTGTGCAAATATGTTCCCCCTGATGTTAGGTTTGTGTACACCGGTTAGTTCTGGGAAAGCGATGGCTCTATAAAATGCTTCACCTGCTCTATCGTATCGCGAGGCAGAGTTAATGCAGTGTCAACTCCTTTACTAGAAACATTTATGTATCACACTGAATGGTGACCCGCTGGGGCAGTCTATATAGCCGTGAAGCCGAGCGGGTCTATAGCAAAACATCTATTACTTGTCTCTGCCACTACCTGGTTCTCCTAAAATCTTCCCATAATTTTCCGATCTATTTATTTTCTATGGACGTACATTAATGGACTGTGTCGGAAAAAAACAACAACAAATATAAGCATATCAAATGGAACTGAATCTTTCAGAAAATTCGTATTATTCACAAAAGTCTATCCTATTGTATATAGATTGGAGGACTGACCACTATAGCGTATGGATTGATAGTGTTCACATCTAAGGGTTAACGGCACACTATACAAAATACGTGCAGTGCAAAAGGACGCATCGAGAAATACATACAATACGAAATTACATCCAATGCATTTTGCCGGACAATTCATGTACTGATAAAACTAACCTTCGAAAATGGGCGTTTTCACTTTAAGAACTTTTTGATTGTTCTGGTTTAGAACTTTCAGCGGGATTGCCTCTGGGGGGATTTGAGCTCGCGATCGAGAATATGAAGCTGGTGTCTGAAAGTACTGGGCCCTCGTGGCAGGGAAAATAG